GAAGAGCGACCCCTCGGGCTCCTCCATCGTCGTCAGCGAGAAGTTGGCGAGGTTGTGCTGGACGTCGGACTGGATCTTCGACGCCTGCTCCTGGGTCCGCTCCTCGCCGCGCTTGAGGAGCGTGTCGATGTCCTCGTCCGTGATGGTCTTGGCTTTCGACGCGAAGATCTCGTCGGCGCCGAAGCGGACCATGGCCATGAGGTCGTTCTTGCCCAGGGCCGCGTTCTGCTCCGCGAGGCGGCCCTGCTGGATGACGGCCGCGTCGAGGAAGAGCTTGCGGTCCGCGCGCTCGATGATCTTCTCCTCGACCGTGCCCTCGGTGACGAAGCGGAAGACGGTCACGGGCTTCGTCTGGCCGATGCGGTGCGCGCGGTCCATGGCCTGCAGGTCCACCTGCGGGTTCCAGTCGCTGTCGTAGAGCACGACGATGTCCGCCGTCGCCAGGTTGATGCCCAGGCCGCCGGCCCGCGTCGACAACAGGAACGCGAACTTCTCGGAGCCGGGCGCGTTGAAGACGTCCATCTGCGAGTCGCGGTCGTCGCCGGACGTGGAGCCGTCGATGCGGCAGTACTTGTACTGGTTGAGGCGCATGTAGTCCTCGAGGATGTCGAGCATGCGCGTCATCTGGGAGAAGATCAGGACGCGCGAGTCCTGCGCCATGAGTTTCGGGAGCAGCTTGGACATGAGCACGAGCTTGCCCGTGTTCTCCCAGAGGTGGGGGCCGTCCATGAAGGGCGGGCCGGGCTCGGCGCCCTCGAAGAGGTAGGGGTGGTTGCAGACCTTGCGGAGCTGCATGAGGATGTTGAGGAGCTGGACGCGGTCCGGCCCGCCGAGCGCGTTGAGCGTGTGCGCGTCCTTGGAGAGGATCTTCGTGTACCAGAGGCGCTGCATCTCCGTCATGCCGATGTAGAGCTTGACCTCGCGCTTCGGGGGCAGGTCCTTCTCGACGTCCTTCTTGATGCGCCGGAGCATGAAGGGCCGGAGCACGGTATGTAATTTCTTGACGACGTTGTCCTTCGCGTCCGCGTCGCCCAGACTGAACCACGTCTCGAAGTCGGCCTCGGACGCGAAGATGTCGGGCAGGAGGAAGTTGAGCAGCGCCCAGAGCTCGTTGAGGTTGTTCTGGAGGGGCGTGCCCGTGATGAGGAGGCGGAACTGCGTCGGGATGAGGCGCACGATCTTCGACAGGGACGAATTCGGGTTCTTGATGCGGTGCGCCTCGTCGATGAGGAGGTACTGCCACTGGATCTTCATGAGGCCCGCCTTCTCCTTGAGGATGCCCTCGTAGGACGTCACGAGGACGTCGAAGGTGCCCGGGCGCAGGTCCTCGCGGAGCACGCGCGCGCGCTCGTCTTTGGACCCTAGGAGCTTCACGGGCCGGAGCGTCGGGCACCACTTCCGGAGCTCGCGCATCCAGTTGTTCGTCACGCTCTTGGGCACGATGCAGATGTGGGGGCCCGTGATGCCCCGCGTCTCGTGGAGGTAGGCCAATAGCGAGATGGACTGGAGCGTCTTGCCGAAACCCATCTCGTCGGCTAAAATGCCGTTGATGCCGTTGTCGTGCAGCTTCACGAGCCAGTTCAACCCCTCGAGCTGGTAGGGCCGCATCTTCGCCGTGATGATGCTCGGCTGCGTCTGGACGCGCGTCACGCGGAGCTTCGACTGGGCCGTCTTCATCAAATTCGCGTCCTCGGCCGACTCCGTCATCCGCGTCCGCCCGGCCTTGGCCTTGGCGCGCTTGAAGCCGCCGTCGGAGTTCTCCTCCATGAAGTGGCTGAAGACCTCGGACTGGGCCATGAGGTAGTTGAGCCGCTTGTCGCGCTGCTGCTGCACGTCGACGCCCTCCATCGTCGTCCCGAACTCCTTCATGTTCGCCAAACGCTCCTTCTGCGCCGCGCGCGCGGCCTCGAAGGCGGCGTCCTGCTTCTTCGGCGCCTTCTTCGGCGGCGGCGCCACGACGGTCCCGCCGCCGCCCCGCGTCCCCATGGACGACGACGGCGCCGGCGGCGCGGGCGCCACCTCCTCGTAGTCCTCCTCCTCCTCCTGCACCGCGTCGTCGGCCTCCATGTCGACGCCGTCCATCTCCACGTCGCTGTCGTCGTTGTCGGCCATGTTGGCGTGCGCGGGCCTCGCGCGCAGTCTCCGGGCGCGCGTCGAGCGCGAGTTTCGACTCGGTCGAGGCGCCTCGGCTCAGGTTTGAGCCGCGACGCTCCTCGTCGACAGCGAGGCACATCTCGCGAGGACCCCAGGCGAAATCAGAGCGGCCGCGGCAGCGCGCCCCGCACGACTCCTCCCTCGCTCCTATATAGAGTCCCTCCGCAGCAGTCCTCCTCGACGCGGCGGCCGTCGAGGAGGTTCGCCAGCCCATCGATGTCGCACCGGGCTGCGGCGGTGATGATTTCGACTCGGAGGTCCATGCAGCTTGGGCTTCTTCTCTGTCAGGTTTCGACCGCGACGAGGAATTGGGGCTGCTTCAGATGGCTGCCTCAGATGGCTGCCTCCATACCAGCCACGTCAACGAGACATGCTGCGGCGTTGAAGGTTTGTTGACTTTCAACCCTGAGTTATGGCATTGCCTCGGCGCGCCCTCGCAGCCGCCTGGTGCTGCACCGTCGCCGTCGCGCTCGCGCCAGCACCACACACCAACGCGCCGCGGCTCTGGCTCGGCGACGACCGCACGGCGGACGCGGCGAGCGTCTGGGAGCTGTCGCCGGCGCAGCACCGCTACGTGGCCACGGTCATGCGCCTGCGCGAGGGCGACGCCCTGCGCTGCTTCGGCGCGGCCATGGGCGAGTGGGCGTGCGCCGTGGAAACGACGACGCGCCGGGGCACGACGGTCGCGGCCGCGGTCCAGACGCGGCCGCCGCCGGGCGACGAGACGCCGCGTCTCGACCTCTACTTCGCGCCCCTGCGGAAGAAGCGGACGTCGCTGCTCATCGAGAAGGCCGTGGAGCTGGGCGCGACGCGGCTCGCGCCCGTGAAGACGGAGCGCGTCGAGCGGGCGTCGCTCGCGGCGCTCGGAGCGGGGATCCACGCGAGCGCGGTCGAGGCGGCGGAGCAGTGCGAGCGGCTGCGGGTGCCCGTCGTCGAGGACGTCGTGGATCTCGCGTCGCCGCTCGGAGACCTGCCGCTCTTCGTCTGCGCCGAGCGCGCGGACGGGGCGTCGCCGCGGCTCCTCGACGCGCTCCTAGGCGCGGAGCTCGGCGACGGCGCCGCGTTGCTCGTGGGGCCCGAGGGCGGCTTCTCCGACGCGGACCTCGCCGCCGTGCGCGCGTCGAACCCGGACGCGACCTTCGTCAGCCTCGGCGCCGGCATCCTCCGCGCGGAGACCGCCTGCTGGGCGGGCCTCGCGGTCGCCGCGGCCGCGCTGGGCCGGCCGAGGTAACGTCTCATTATTATGGGTACTTTGACGTGGGGACTTTGACGACCGCCCATGGGCGGCTCATCACAGCTCGGCGGGGCCGCCGGGTGCGGCGAAGCGGGGGGAGTAGAGGTGGGGGGCTATGTTTGACACGTCGACGGGGCCGTGGCCGTCGACGAGGCGGCGACGCGCCGCGGCCCGCTCGGCGTAGAAGAGGTCGGCGAAGGCGAGCCAGTCCCGGCGCCACATGTCGCCGAAGACGTCCGACGCGGACCCGCCGGCGGCGAGGTACGCCTCCGCGCGCATGTCCGCCGCGTCCGGGTGCTTCGCCACCGCCGCGTCGAGCTCCGGCCGCGCGCTCGCGGGGGCGAAGGCGAGGATGTTCTTGGGGTACCACCAGCTCTTGCGGAGGACGGGCCGCGCCGCGGGCGTCCCCAAGAGCAGCTGGCGCACGCGCGCGGTGCGCGCCGCGTCGAAGACGTAGCCCGCGGCCTCGAAGCGCTCGAGCCAGAACGCGAAGGTGTTCTCGTTCAAGGGCGTCGGGTTCCCGCCGCGGTCCTGGAACGGCGTCGCGGCGCCGAAGAACACGTGGCGCGGGCTTTTCGCGACGACGACCGCGACGAATTTGGCCGCGTCCTCGACGGGCAGGTGCTCGCCGACCTCGAAGCTCGTGACGAGGGCCGTCGCCTCGGCCGCGGCGGCCGCGCCAGGCAGGCTCAGGTTCTGGACTTTGTAGAACTCGTCGCGGAACGCCTCGGGCCACATCGCCGCGGCCGCGGGCGACCCCTCGAGCCCGAAGCTCCGCGCGACGCCCGCCTCGCGCCAGGCCTCGACGAGGAGCCCGTGGCCGCAGCCGACGTCGAGCGCCGAGTCCGGCAGGCCGCCCGTCGCCGCGGCTATCGCGGCCACGAGCGGCCCGTAGACGCCGTCCCCGGGCGTCGCGAGGTCGCCGCGGGCGCCGGGATGGAGCGAGAGCCCGAAACAGACCGCGGCGACCCCGGCCGCAAAGCCGCGACGCAACGGCCCAAATCGACGCGTCGCCATATGGGATAGGCCCTGGAACGGAGTGTTTGATTGAGCTTGACTAGCCGGGGACCCTCGATGACCAGTGCTCGCCGGCGAGCCCGATCGATTAGCCCCCAAATCTCGCGAGGCAATATTTTAGCGAGTCATTTTGCAGGGCTAGCTCGCGGACCTCGCGCCGCGGCCTCTACCGAGATCTAGAGTAGGTCGCCTCTCATTACAGCTCGGCGGCGGGGCCGCGGGTGTGGCGAGGCGGCGGCGGCGGCGGGGCCGCGGGTGTGGCGGGGCGGCGGGAGTAGAGGAGGCCTGCACTTGACACGTCGACGGGGCCGTGGGCGGCGACGAGGCGGCGCCGCGCCGCGGCCCGCTCGGCGTAGAAGAGGTCGGCGAAGGCGAGCCAGTCCCGGCGCCACATGTCGCCGAAGACGTCCGCCGCGGACCCGCCGGCGGCGAGGTACGCCTCCGCGCGCATGTCCGCCGCGTCCGGGTGCTTGGCCACCGCCGCGTCGAGCTCCGGCCGCGCGCTCGCGGGGGCGAAGGCGAGGATGTTCTTGGGGTACCACCAGCTCTTGCGGAGGACCGGCCGCGCCGCGGGCGTCCCCAAGAGCAGCTGGCGCACGCGCGCGGTGCGCGCCGCGTCGAAGACGTAGCCCGCGGCCTCGAAGCGGTCGAGCCAGAACGCGAAGGTGTTCTCGTTCAAGGGCGTGGGATTTCCCCCGCGGTCCTGGGACGGCGTCGCGGCGCCGAAGAAGACGTGGCGCGGGCTTTTCGCGACGACGACCGCGACGAATTCGTCCGCGTCCTCGACCTGGGCAGGAAAAGGGTGATTCAAGTTCTCTTCAACATGAGTGTTCCGCGCGCGCGCGTTCCGGAAAAAGCATCCATGCTTCGAGACCGTTCCGAGAGATGATCGCTCGTCCAAAAATCAGCCGAAACGAGTGGAAAACGGCCGAGATCGGAGCCTTTGAAGTTGGGAATTTCGCTCTCTTTTCCTGCCCTGTCCTCGACGGGCAGGTGCTCAGCGACCTCGAAGCTCGTGACGAGGGCCGTCGCCTCGGCCGTGGCGGCCGCGCCGGGCAGGGTCAGGTTCTGGACTTTGTAGAACTCGTCGCGGAACGCCTCGGGCCACATCGCCGCGGCCGCGGGCGACCCCTCGAGCCCGAAGCTCCGCGCGACGCCCGCCTCGCGCCAGGCCTCGACGAGGAGCCCGTGGCCGCAGCCGACGTCGAGCGCCGAGTCCGGCAGGCCGCCCGCCGCCGCGGCTATCGCGGCGACGAGCGGCCCGTAGACGTCGGCGTTCGCGCGGTGCTGCTCGAAGAACGCCGCGTCGTAGACGCCGTCCCCGGGCGTCGCGAGGTCGCCGCAGGCGCCGGGATGGAGCGAGAGCCCGACGCAGACCGCGGCGACCACAAAGCCGCGACGCAACGGCCCAAATCGACGCGTCGCCATAAGGACTCAGGGGCTCGATTGACGAGAAATCGCGTCGAGGACACGAATCGAGAGGCAGTTTTTCGGCGAGCGGAGTCAGCTCTGCGGCCCGAGACATCTTAGAGCCCGGGCTTCGCCTTTCGACATCATGCGCCTCCTCTGGACAATAACAAACCAGAGAAAGAGCAACTTGCCGGCCGGCGTTTTGCAGCCCTATCGACGCCGATTTCGATGGGAAGTACACCATCGAGACCGCGGTCCGGAGGTGCTAAAGGAACGCGTACTAGTATTTTCACTTATTTGCTATGTGAAATCAGCTTTCGGAAGACGTGTACTGCAGGCGCGTGACCCCGTCGACGAGGGGCAGTTCCGAGTACTTGTTTCGTCTGGACGACACGATCTTCCCACCGGTCCGGCGGCCGGAAGGTCAATTCGCGGTCCATAAGCATGTCGAGCGGAACCAAATACATACGGCGAGCCGATGCGGATCCCCGGCTTCTTGTTCTCGCCGGGGGTCGGCCAAACGTTACCCTGCAACGAGACGAGTGGCTCGCAGAGATCGAACGCGCTTTTGGAGTGGCCTTATCTGAGGAGCCGCGTTCGTGACAGCTGCGGCGGTGTGGAGCGGGTTCTGATGCCGCCGCGTAAGCGACGGCGCACCACGGAGTCATGCCGACCGCTAGGACTTCGAACTCTCGTCGTCGCCTTTGACGGCTTTCGGGTGCGCCAGACGGGCGACCGCGAGCTGCGCGTCGAGAAGGACGGCAAGATATGGTCCTTAGCGTCCCAGGGGTTGGCCTCGGCGCCGCCGGAGATGGCAGCGCTAGTAAACAAGGAGCACGGAGGGAGGACGATGGAGGTGCACACCAAGGTCCTCTGCGCTACATGTGCTACTTCGCCGACGCCTATCGCGGTCGTCCTGCGCGACGTCTCCGGCGCGCTCGTGGGCGCGGCGGCAGGCGCGGTTCCGCGACAACATGGCGAAGGTGCGGGGCGTCGTCAAGGAGCGGCCGCTGGTCCTACGCCTACCTGAAGCACATCGGCGTCGAGGACACCATCGCGTCCTCGGCGGCGGACTACGTGCGCCTCGCCGTCCGTTTCGCGACGGACGTTGACGCGCGCCGCGACCTCCGGCGCCGCGTCCGCGAGAACGTCGTGCGCCTCTTCGAGCAGGAGGCCGCCGTGCGGTCCTGGGAACGGGCGCTCCTCGACCTCGCGCCGACCGCCGACGCCGCGACATGCGCGGGCGCGCGCGAGTTGTAAAAATCGCCGTTTGAGGCCGAAACTGCCACAAGCTTGCACCTCAGCTCCGTGCCAGCCACTTGCTCGTCCGAATCACCCACACAGAAGACGCCCCATGAGCGCCTGACCGCGCTACTGAGAGATGAGAACCGCTGCGCAGGAACCGCCGTCCAACATGTCGACGGAGATCAAGACCGTCGCCGATTACGAGACCGCCATCAAATCCGGCAAGAACGCGAGCACTCCGGCGCCTCGAGCGCGCGCGCGCGCGCGTCTCGCGCTCCCCGCACCGCGCCGCGAGCGCGCGCGTCCCGCGCGCCGCCTCGAAGCCGCGCGCGCGCGTCCCGCGCGCCGCCTCGACGCCGCGCGCGACGCCGCAGGTCGTGATCCTCTTCACGGCGTCGTGGTGACCGCCGTGCAAGACGTTCGGCCCCAAGTACGACGCGCGCGCCGCCACCGCGGCCGCGCTCCTCTGCAAGGTCGACGTCGAGAACCCGGAGACGCAGTCGCTCTGCCAGAAGCACGGCGTCTCCTGCATGCCCACGGTCGTCGTCATCAAGGACGGCAAGGAGGCGGGCAAGATGGAGGGCGTCGACCAGGCCAAGTTCGAGGTCTGGGCGTCCGGCGGCTAGGGAAGGACCGGCGAGCAGGATCGCAGGAGACCGCGGGACGCGGGCGCGACCATGACCGCCGCGGGCGCCACTCCTCGGCCCCGCGGCGCGACCACCCAGAGCGCCCGTCCTTTAAGTCTCCTCGACCTCAGCGCTAGATATGCAAATGCCCATGCGCCGCGCACCGTGACTGGCACTTCTATGCACATTCTTAGTTCTCCTCGACCTTGCCGTCGACGGCCTCGGGGGCTTCGCCGTCGCGTCCTCGGGGCCCTTGCCGGCGCCGCCGTCGTCGTCGAGGACGGTGACGAAGCCCTTGGTGCAGTCGTGGGCGAGGTCCGCCTTGGAGCCGCCGAGCCGGAGGAACTCGGACGCCGTCGTCGCGGCCTTGTACGCGTCGTAGCGCAGGGCCGACTTGGACCCCGCCTTCTTCGGGTTGTCCTGGCGCACGGCGATGCGCGCGTCGTTGAGCAGGAGGTCCGACGCGTCCATCCAGCGCGGCTTCTTCTCGCGGGGCGCCGCCTCGTCGAAGTCGTCGTCGTCCTCGGCGTACGACGCGCGCGCGACGGACCGCTTGCGCCGGCCCGAGGACGTCGTCGTCACGACGGGCTCGGGCGGCGGCGCGGCCGCCGCCTCGCGCTTGCGCGCCGCCGCCGCGTGCGCCGCCGCGCGCGCCGCCGCGGCCGCGACCGTCGCGTCGGCGACGGTCGCCGCGGCCGCGTCGCCGTCCTCCCACGCGACGAGGCGGTCGCGGCGCGCGAGGACGACGGCGCCGCCGTCGGGCCGCGACGCGTCGAGCAGCCTCAGCGGCACGAGGGCGCTCGCGTCGGCCTCGTCCTTGGCGCCGCGCGGCGCGCCGACGCGGTGCCACGCCGTCGGCCCGCGCCGCGCGAGGCAGTAGAGGAGCCGCGCGTCGCCGGCGACCGCGGCGCTCAGGGGCAGGACCACCGCGGGCGCCGTCGCGCCGGTGATCTGCGGCGCCGCCTCCTCGCGGACGACGAGGGGGCGCAGCTGCGCCGGCGTGTACCACTCGGGCTTCTCCGAGTGCCAATTCACGAGGTACTTGAGCGCGGGCGTCGCCGTCTTCTCCGCGACGACGCCCTCCAAGACGCCGTGGCCGAGGAAGCTCTTGCGCACCGTGGCGCCGAGGGCCACGTCGTCGTCGTCGCCGCTCTGGAAGCGCGCGTTGACGAGGTGCGCGCGGTGGTTCTGGACGACGCCCGCGGCCTTGTGCTCTTCCGCGGCGGCGGCCACAGCGCCGTCGGGCGCCACGACGTCGTTGAAAGCGACCCAGACGGCGCCGCCGATCTCGTCGAGGTAGCTCGCCGGCGGCTTCTCGCGCTCGAGCTCGTCCCGGCACTCCTTGCGGAACTGAGCGGCCTCCTTGGGAAGTTGGTCTCCCGAAACCGCCGCGGCCGCGAGGTCGAGCACGAGGCGCTTCACGCCGAGGGTCGGCCGCGGCGGCGGGCCGAACTCCTCGAACTTGTCGTTCATGGCCTCGCGGTCGAGGCACAGGTCGTCCACCGTCGGCGCGTACGCCGCCATCTTCTCGGAGAAGCCGAGGCGGTGCAGGCGCAAATCGAGCGCGAGCATGAGCGCCGCCGCGCGCTGGGGCTCGCCCGGCAGGGACGCCAACGCCTTGAGGCTCGCGTCGTCGGCCGCGCCCGCCGCCTTGCAGAAGATCGCCAGGTTCTTCAGGTCCTCCGCGCCGCCGTACGTCCGCGTGACGAGGCGTAAAGCGCACACCAGATCCTCGACGTCGAAGCGCTGGCCCGACTGCACGAAGGCGACGGCCGAGGGGAGGACGAGGTCGCCGGCGACCTCCGCGGCCTCGAAGGTCGCGCGGATTGTGGCGTGCCTGGCCCGCCGCGCGGCGACGACGGCCGCGTCGACGGCGTAGCGCGGGTCCGACGTCAGCGGCCCGAGGTCCAGCCCGAGGCCCCGCGCGCGCAGCGCCCGGCGCGCGAGGTGGGGCGCGGAGAAGTCGTCCTCGCGGACGTCGGCCGTCGGCTCGAGGCATCTCGCGATCTCGTGGAGCTCCATCTCCTCGGCCTGGCCGTTCTGGTAGAAGACCTGGAAGATGGCGAGCTGGTCGCCGACGGTCCCGTCCTGCTTGATCATGGCCTCGCGGCTCCGCTCGAGGCTCATGACGACGCCGACCAGAGGACCCCGCAGGTCCTCGCCCGCGACGACGCGCGGGCACTCCGCCTGGCCGGAAGGGCCCGCGCCGTCGCGGTCGTCGCCGCGGAGCGTCGGCGACCGCAACCGTGCATAACCTAATTTCAAGCCCGGGCAGACGGAGTCGGGCCCGAGCACCTCGCCGGGCTTGCGCCGCGCCGCGCAGGCCGCGGCCATGTCGTCGACGCCGGGCGTCCAATCCTCGCGCCAGGCCTCGAGCGACTTCGTCGCGTACGCGCAGCGCTCCTCCGTCGTGACGTGGAAGCCGAAGGTGTAGGGGTGCTCCATGTGGGGGCTCGCGAACTCGTCGGCGCGGTAGCTGTGGCTCAAAGTGCCCGTCGGCAGGCGCGCGAAGCCCAGCGCTTCCAACCAACTCGCCTCCTTCGGCGCCATGCGGTCGTGGCCGCTGGAGGAGAAGAAGATGAGGCTGAAGCGCTCGCCCTTAAAAGGGAGCGTGCAGTGGGGCTGGTTGCCGTTGAAGAGCTTGACCTCGCCCTTGCAGGGGAGCACGCCGCGGTCGTAGCTCCAGAGCTCGCCGTGCTCGAAGTCGCCGAGCGCGATGATCGCGCTCGGCCCGTCGTTGGACCGGTCGCAGTGCATGGCGGACGCGTAGTCGCTGTTGAGCTGGATGGACGCGAAGGGGAAGCCCGCCGGCAGCTGCTGGCACCCGTACGTCGCGAGGAGCCGCGCGAGGCGCGGCCGCCGCCGCGCCCACGCGGACACGCGCGCGGGCGCGTGGCTCCGCGACAGCGCGCCCAGCGTCAGGGAGCGCACGAGCGCGCTCTCGTCGCTCTTGACGTTCTTCCGGTCCTCGTTGTGCGGCACGTCGACGCTGCGCAGCGCGGCGAGGACCTGGTCGGCGGTGATGACGCCCGGCGGCACCTCGTCGATGTCCTCGCTCGGCTCGCGCTCGCGCTCCGCGTCGTTGAGATCCATTGCTCGGTGCGTTTGAGTTGGTGGTTCAGGTGCGCGCGCACTTGTGCGGGCGCGACGTCGCCTTCCGGATGGTTTGGATCTCGGCGAAGCTTGTGTTCGAAGCGCGCGAAGGTCGACCGTGACGGTTTCAGGCAGCGCGCGACGAAGGCCTCGACGATGGACGCACACGCCGGCAAAACCGCCCTGTCCAAAGCCTTAAACCTCACACGGCGTGGTTCGCGGGCAGCTTCGCGTTGAGGTAGACGCTCGCGCTGGAGCTGCCGAAGCCCACGGGCGTCTTCTTCTTCTTCGCGGCCGGCCCGCCGCGGCGGCTCGGCGCGCGCGGGGACCGCGGCTGCGAGAGCGACTCGAGGCGGCTCGGCCGCGGCGAGCCGTCGGCCTTGCGCGGCGAGGGTTTGTGGCTTGGGCCGGGGGCTCGTGGAGCGCATGGTCTGGCAGAGCATCGTCGGCGCCGCGCGATGCCGGGACCCGCCGCGGCTCGCGTCGCGCTTCGCGGCCGCGCGGGCCCGCGGCGACGCCACGGACGCGCGCGGGCTCGGCACGCGCGGCAGGAGCCGCGGCGGCTCCGTGGCCTCCGGCGGCGGCAGGGGCGCCTCCGCGGTCTCGCCCGCGGACGGGAGCGAGTCGACGAGCGACGGCGCGCCCTCCGGGGCGCCCCCGTCGGTGAGCGACTTCCCGTAGCGGACCTCGTCGAGACCGCCCTCGTCCGGCGGCGCCGCGGCGAGCGTCGCCGCCGTGAGCGCGGACACGTCGGAGCCGTCGCGCTTGAGCGGCCGCTGGCCCGTGCGCGGCCGCCGCCGCTTCTGGGCCGTCGCCGCTCTCCCCCCGAGGCTCCCGGACGTACCGGGCCGGAAGCGCCGCATGCGGTCCGCGGACTTGGCCCGGCCCGCGTGGAGCTTCGGGAGCACGTCGAGGTAGGCGACGCGGCTCTTCGCGGAAAGCGTGGGCCGGAGCAGACGCGGCACGGCCGCGCCCCGGGAATCCGTCACGCGGTCGTTGACCTCGTCGCCCGTCCAGATGTTGAAGGACTCGAAGGACGTCGAGTAGACGATCTTCTTCGGCGACATGAGCTCGCCGTAGTGGACCTCGTGGAGCGCCGCGCTGCAGGCGACGTTCGCGGCCTCGTGCGCGAGCGACGCCTTGAACGCCGCCGCGAAGGCCGCGTCGCGCTGGCGCCGCGCCTGCTCCGTCTTGCCGACCTCGCGCGCGACGTCCCGCGCGAGCGCCGCGTTCAGCTCCTTCGTGTGGGCCAGGGCCAGCGCGGACTCCCGGAGCTGGCGGCCGTACTGGTCGACCAACGCCAGGGCCTCGCGCTTCGCGGCGGCCTCGTTCTCCAGGCGCTCGACGGCCCGGTTCTTGAGCTGCCAGGCCTTGTCGAGGGCGAGATTGAGGTGCTCGGCCCGGTCGACGGCGGCCTCGAGGCCCGCCTTGGCCTCGCCGTGTCTCTTTTCCGCGTCCGCGCGCCGCGCCTCGGACGCGTCGAGCGCGGCCTCGGCGCGCTTCGCGGCAGTCTCGGCGGCGGCGAAGGCCGTGGACGTCTCCTGGAGCTTCGTCTCGCCCGCGCGGAGCGCCGCCTCGCTGTCGACGAGCGCGCGCTCGCACGCTTCTAGCCTGGACGCGCACCGCGACGCGGCGTCCGCGGCGTCGCAGTACTTGGAGTGCCAGATCTCGGAATTCGCCTCGAGCTCCGCGTTCTCCTGGGCCGCCTTGGCGAGGTCCCCCTTGGCCTTGGCGAGGGCCACGTCGCGCGCCGCGACCGTAGATTTCAGACCGGCGATCTCCTCGTCGTCCGTGGCCTTGTCGAACTGGTACTTCATGATCGTGTCCCGGTGGTGGTCCGCGGCCTCGCGCAGCGCCTCGGCGCGGCTCGCCTGGGCGCTCGCCGCCGCGGCTTTGGAGGATCGCTGGAGCCGGTCGAGCGCGGAGCCCACCGCCGACGCGGCGACGACGGCCGCGACGACGTCCACGGGCGCGCGCCTCGTCTCGAGCTCGTCGAGCGCCCGCGCGAGCTGGCTCTCGACGATCGTGTTGCGCGCGACGGCCCGGTCCCGCTCCTCGCCGACCGCGCGGACGACGCCGTTGTCCGTGGCCGCGACGAGGCGCGCCTCCGCGGCGAGCCGCGCGGCCTCGGCGCAGACCGCGCGGTTCTCCGTCGTAAAAGCGTTGGCCGCGGCGTCCTCGGCGGCGCTCGCCGCGGCCTCGGCCAGAGCCTTGTGGCTCGCGGCGTCGCGCGTCAGCCGCTCGACGTCGCGGCGGAGCGACTCGTTCTCCTCGCGGAGCCGCTTCGCGTCCGCGCGCGCGTCGCCGGCCTGGGCCTCGCCCTGGGCGACGGCGTGGAAGAGGTCGTAGCGCTCCAGCAACTGCTCCAGCAGGCCCCGGACCGCCTCGAGGCGCCCGCCGTCGCCCGCTTCCGAGGGGAAGGGCACGCGGAGCTGCGCGCCGCCCAGCGGCGTCTCGCACTCGGGCGCCGCCGTTTCTTCGAGCGTCGCGACCTCCAGGGCGAGGCTGCGGAGCTCCTCGGTCTCGAAGGCGTCGTAGGACGGCTCCATGCCCTCGGCCAGCGCGCCGTCGAAGTTCGGGGTAGTGGCCACGTCGGCCTCGGAGTCGGCGGGCGTCGGCGACCCCTCGGGCGCCGGCGCCTCGCAGACGACGTTCTCCGGCCGCGGCGCGGCGAAGGCGAACTTGTCGGACCGGCGCTTGTCGTCGAGGGCCATGAGCGACGCCAGAATCGACGGCTCCTCCGGCTCGTCGTCGTCGGCTTCCGTATCCCGGTAGGTCCGCGGCGAGTCGCAGAGCGGCGCGAGGTCCTCGGGCCCGTCGAAGCAGAGCGTCAGCGGCGCGCCGGCGGGCGGCGACGCGGCCGCGGGCGGCGTGACGACGGCCGCGCGGCGGTCCGCGACGGCGACGGCCGCGGAGATGGCCGCCGCGCACGTCGTCACCTGCACCGCGGAGATGGCCAGGGCCTCGTCGTGCATCTGCGTCGACACGGGCACGTCCGGGCTCGCGACGATGACCGGCGACTCGGGCACGGCCGCGGGCGTCTCGCGCCTCGGCGCCGTCGGCGACCGGCCCGTGCGGCTGAGCCGGCTCCGCGTCGCCGCCGCGAGTTTCGTCGCCGCGGCGTCGTGCTCGTGGTCCTCGTTGAGCTTCGCTAGAAGCGCGGCCACGGGCGGGTTCTCGTAGTCCGCCGCGTCCCACGCGTCCGCCAACCCCCGGATCTGGCCGTCGTCGCCCGCGCGCGCGAGGAGCGACGCCGCGGCGTCGCCGCGGCCGCAGGACCGCTCGGCCTTGGCGGCGCGGAGGTACGTCGCCCGCGTCGCGCTCCCCGGGTCCCGCCGCAGGCCCTCGCCGTAGAGGTCCGCCGCGAAGTGGTTCAAACCGACGAACGCGCACTTGTCGCCCAATTTCCGCCACGTCTCCTCGTCGTCGAGCCACGCGGCCGCGTCGGCCCCCGCGGGCGCCGCGCCCATGTGCTGGACGACGGAGAGCAGCTTCGCGTAGAGGCCCTCGGCGACGCGGCGCGCGCGCGCGCGCGCGGCGTCGTCGTAGCCGTCGCGGCTCGACCAGTCGTCGTAGCACCGCGCCAGTAAAAAGAAGATCTCGTCGCTCCGGAAGCCCTCGACGCCGCCCGGCGCCGCGAAGAGGCGAAATAATAGGGTCACGGCCTCGTCGTGGCGGTGCAGCTCGTGCTGGTACATGCCCGCGACGCGGAGCGCGGCGACGGCCGCGCCGCGGCCGCCGGAGCCGTCGGCGACGGCGTGGAGCAGCTCCGCGGCTTTGCCGTGGTCGCCGAGCGCGAGCTTCACCGTGCCCCGGCGCATGGCGTGGTCGTGGCAGGTGGCGCCGCCGCCCGCCTCCGCGCGCTCCCAGCCGAGCTCCGCCTTCTCGGCCAAGGACCCGGGCGCCTTCGCGCCCAAATGCTCCCAGAGCCGGTGCGCGGCGTCGCCGTAGGCGCGCCAGTGGCGCGCGTCCCAGTCGCTCCGGTCCTCGATGTGCTCCAACAGCCCGAAGGCCGCGACGACGGCGCCGCGGTCCAAGCACTCGGACTCGGCGAGCAGCACGCCGAGCGCGCCCATGGCCGCAAAGTCGTCGGGCGCCGCCGCGAGCTCCTCGCGCAGCTCGCGGATCTTGTGGCGCGTCCGCGCCTTCTCCCAGCGCTTCGTCTTCGTCATGGTTGCTCCTTGCGGCTCGTCTAGGCGCACATCGTGGGTGGCTGGGGGTTACAACATGGCGCTCTCCGTGAATAACTCCTCAATGTTGTAGTTTAGCAACTTCACGTTGTACTTTTCGCAAGGCATCGATGTGCCCGAGCTGAAGTCGCAATTCCGCATCACACGCTGCGACGTGCTGCTGAAGAAGGGGTGTTAGCATCTCCGTCGTCGGCAGGCGTGGTAGCAAATTCCGTCGGTCGCAGGGAACTCTGCTCGCGCGCCGGGACCGTCCGCCGCATGTGGTACCGCATCGCCGTCCTGGCGTCGCTGCTGCGCCCGTCGTCCGCCATCATGCGACATGAACTCCTAGAAAAGCTGCGCGCGTCGCCGGCGATCCTCGCCCCGCTCACGCGCGCGTCCACGCCTCCCTTCCGCGCCCTCTGCGTCGCGCACGGCTGCGAGGCGACCATGGGCGAGATGATCTTCGCCAAGTACCTGCGCAAGGGCGACCGCCGCGAGAAGGCGCGGCTCCGGCGCCACGACAGCGAGCCGCTCTTCGGCGCGCAGATCGCGACGAACACCATCGCCGAGGGCGCCGCGGCGTGCGCGGCCGCGGCGGACGCCGGCGCGGACTGGGTCGACCTGAACTGCGGCTGCCCCATCTACGAGGCGACGCGGCGGGGTTTGGGGTCCGCGCTCCTCCGGTCGCCGCGGAAGCTCGCGCGGCTCGTCGGCGGCATCTGCGAGGCGTCGCCCGTGCCCGTGTCCGTGAAGCTGCGCCTGTCGCCCGCGGGTCCGAACGACGCCAACTACCTCGACCACGTCGCCGCGCTCCGCGACCTCGGCGAGGAAGGCCCGGCGTTCCTGACGCTCCACGGGCGCACGGCGACGCAGCGCTACGGCAAACCCGCGGACTGGGCCGCCATCGAGGCCGCCGCGGGCGCCGCGGGCGCCGTGCCCCTCGTGGGCAACGGCGACGTGCTCACGCACTACGAGGCCGCGGCGCGCCGCGCCGCGGCGCCCGCGGCCGCGGGGCTCATGGTCGGCCGCGGCGCGCTCGTCACGCCCTGGCTCTTCGACGAGATCAGAAGCGGGTCGACGTGGCTCCCGACGGCCGAGGAGCGCGCGGCGGTCTACTACGAGCTCGCGGCGAACTACCGGACCCAGTTCGGCGACGACGCGCGCGGCAAAAACGCGGCGTTCTACTTCTTGCCGTTCCACTTCAACTTCCTCCACCGCTGGCGGCCGCTGCCCGAGGCGGCCTTCGGCGACCTCGCGGCGCGCGCGCCGCTCATCCAGAGCGGCCGCGACGTCGACGCGCGCCTCCGGGACCTCGAGGGCCCGGACCTGCCGCCGCTCGAGCGGCTCCTCCGCTGCGCGGCGGGCGACGCGCACGACGCGATCGCGCACGCGCTCTGGGACGGCCGCGACGCGGCCGACGCGGTCGCGGCACTCGAGCGCCTGGCGACGGAGGAGAACCTCGCGGCCTGGGCCGCGCCGACGGCCGACGGCGAAGACGAGGACGAGGGACACGTCAAGAAGCAGAAGGCGCCGCCGAAGAAGAAGAAAAAGGTCAAGGTCCGCGTGGGCCGCAAGGACAATTCCCAGCAGACGACGGCGTCCCTGAGCACGCGCACGTGCACGCTGTATCGGCCCGTGCCGAAGCGGACCGCGGCGTAAAGCACATTATCGGGGGAGAGCTACGGACGGCGCGTCGTCGGGACGGCGTCGGGCTCGACACGGTGGGACTTGTGGAGGCGGGGACTTGGCGGGGCAAAAAGGCGCGGAGCCGCACTGCGCGCGGGGGCGTGCTGGTCTCGGCGGGTTGGTGGGGACTTTTTTCGCGGAGCCGCACTGCAACGCGAGGGCGTGCTGGTCTCGGCGGGAGCGCTGGGCGCTCAGACTTCGGGGGCCTTGGCGGTCTCGGCCTCGACGACGGGAGGCACCGCCGCGTTGGTCTTGCGGGCCTTGTAGAGCGCGCCGAGGCCGACGGCGAGGACGACGACGCCGGCGATGCCGATGAACATGGGCACGTCCGCGCTCGCGGACTCGGTGCCGTCGTCGTCATCGGAAGAGGAGGAGGCCTCGGAGCGCTCCTCGGCGGCGACGGTCGTACCTTCGAGGACCGCGGACGTGGCCTCGACGTCCACCGCGACGCCCGCGAAGACTTGGCCACCCTGCTGCAGGACTTGGACGAAGAGACCGTCGTCGGCGGCCGCGGCGACGCCGGCGACGAACTCGGACAGGTAGGTCGCCGCGTAGTCGGCGCCGGCGTCGCGCAGGGTCTGCGTGACGACGACCGTGTACTCGACGAGGGCGCCCGCCTCGAGCTTGCGGCGGCGCGAAGCCTCGACGGCGCGGACGTTCTTGACTTGGTCCGTGCTCGTGACGTCGGCGACGGACGCGACGATGGCCTTCTTGAACTGGAGCCGCGCGCGCGCGTCGTCGTTGAACGCCGAGACGTCGAGGTTCTCGAACGCGATCGCGCTCTCGACCTCGAGGTCCACGACGGAGATGGGCGCGGCCTCCTCGTAGGCGACGACGTCGCCGGCGAGGACCACGGTGTTCACGACGAGGCCGTTCGACGCGAGGCGGAAGTAGAAGTTGCCCGACGTCACGTCCGCCGCGACGGCGGCCGAGACGGAGCGCGCGCCGGCGTCGTCGATGCCGGAGACGTGGATCTGCACGAAGATGCCGTCGGCGGACGCGGCGACGCCCGTGAGCTCGACCTGGTCCCCCGTGATGACCCGGGCCGCGTCCACGGTGCTCGCGACGAGGCTCTCGTCGACGTCGCCGGAGGCCAGGTAGTCGTCCAGGGGAAGTCCGTCGAGCTCGAGCTTCAGGTCCACGCCGGCCGTGCCCTCCTCCGCGAGCGACGGGTTCGAGGCTCCGAGCTGGAGGACCGCCGCGTCTTCGTTCGCGGCGACTTGGAGCTCGCGCGTCGCGCGGCGGAGCTTGCGCGCGCCGGTGTCGACGTGGTGGTACTCGACGACCATTTGGACTTCGAGGTTCGCCGTGGCGCCCTCGCCGGGGCGGAGCCCCGGGGGGAGGAAGAACGTGAAGTAGTCGTGGTAGGCCTTGGTCAGCTCCGCGAGGTCCGCGTGGGCGTCGTTGAGCCAGGCTCCGGCGTACTTGTAGCCGGGGGCGGACTGGCCGAATTTCCGGTTCGAGACGAGCGCGTACTCGAGGCCCGAGTCGAGGTTCCGCACGGTCGCGGTCTTCAGGAACGCGACGTAGGACTCCGAGTCCTCGTCCGTCGTGTTGAGCATGAGGCAGACGCGCGAGTTCGCGTCCATGGTCGCGCTGGCGGACGCGGAGTAGATGTCGCAGGGCGCCGTGGAGCTCGAGGCGAGGGCGACGCGGTGCGCGGCGACGCCGAGGTCGAGGCTCTCCGAGACCGTCTGCGTGTCGATGCCGGCCGTGGACGAGGACATGACGACCCGGTCCACGACGTCGATGGTGTACGTCACCTCGTGCTCGAAGGACGCGAGCGCGTCGAAGGGGTCCGAGTGGCCGACGCCGATCGTGACGCCGAGCGTGAGCGTGATGATGCCGTTCTCGTCCTGGACCGCGCTGCCGGGGCACGCCTCGACGAGCGTCGTCGGGTCGAGCGTCCGCGACACGGTCGAGTGCTCCGCGCACGACGACGCCGAATCGGCCTCCTGGCAGAAGCCGGCCGCGAGCTGGAAGTCGATGCAGTCCACGCCGACGGAGAGCGTCCCGGTGAGCTCGGAGCTGCTGCCCGTCGTGACGACGTCCATGACGAGCGTGACCGTGCCGTCGGAGCCGAACGTCGACGACGGCGTGACCTCGGACGCGATGCCGGACTCGTCGAGGGTGAACGCGCTCGGGCAGGCGTCGTTGCCGAGGCAGGAGAGGGACTCGAGGTGGGTCACGACGCCGTCACTGGACGCGGAGATCGGGGTCGCGACGGGGCGGGGGGTCGGCGCGGAGTCCGTCGGGCTGGGCGCGGGCTGGGGGGCCTCGAAGATGTAGACCGAACCTGAGTTGCCGCCCATGTCGTTGTCGTAGGTTGCCCCGACGACGAGTCGGTTGCCACTGAGGACGAGGGCTTCATAGAAGCGGTCGGCAGACGCGTAATCGCTAGCCTGCAAATACGCGTCTTGGGTCCAGCTCGCGCCGTTGTCCGTCGTTGAGAAGAGGTAAGCACCGCCAGCGAAGCTGTTGGCCTCATACGCGCCGACGGCGAGTGTGTTGCCACTAATGGAGAGACTCGTGCCGAAGTGATAGGCTGCCGAGCCTGGGGCGAGCTTGGCCGCTTGGGTCCAGGTCGCACCGCCGTCCGTCGTGCGGAACGCGTACGCCGAGCCCGCGTTGGTGTCGTCCTGCAATGCGCCGACGACGACGAGGTTGCCCTCGACGGCGACGGACCAGCCGAAGAGGTCGTACGCCTCGGCGTCGTCAGCCACGAGCTTGGCCACCTGGGGCCAGGTCGCGCCGCCGTCGGATGTCTTGAAGATGTAGGCCGAGCCCGAGTTGGAGCCGGCGTCGTCGTTCCAGGCCGCCCCGACGACGATGATGTCGTTGTGGATGGCGACGGAGACGCCGAACTGGTCTTGCGCCGCGGCGTCCGAGGAGACGAGCTTCGCGATCTGCTCCGTGACGCCGTCGACGGTGCGGAACACGTAGGCCGAGCCCGAAGAGGTGCCGGCGTCGTCGTCGAGATTCGCGCCGACGACGACGAAGTCGCCGCTCGAGGCGATGGACCAACCGAATTCGTCGCCCGCCGCGCCGTCGGACGCGACGAGCTTGGCGACCTGGGGCCAGGTCGCGCCGCCGTCGGATGTCTTGAAGATGTAGGCCGAGCCCGAATCGTAGCCGGCGTCGTCGTCGTGATTCGCGCCGACGACGATGATGTCGTTGTGGATGGCGACGGAGGCGCCGAACTGGTCTTGCGCCGCGGCGTCCGAGGAGACGAGCTTCGCGATCTGCTCCGTGACGCCGTCGACGGTGCGGAACACGTAGGCCGAGCCCGAAGAGGTGCCGGCGTCGTCGTCGAGATATGCGCCGACGACGACGAAGTCGCCGCTCGAGGCGACGGACCAACCGAATTCGTCGCCCGCCGCGCCGTCGGACGCGACGAGCTTGGCGACCTGGGAGAAGTCCTCGGAGGCCGCGGCGCCGAGGGCGAGGACGAGGAGCGCGGCGAGCGCGCGGTGGAGGCCCATGGTGCGGTGGTGGTGCGTGATGGGGTGCGAGGCAGAGGCGGTGGTGGAGGTGCGTGGGGCGGCGGCCGAGGGGCTGCGGCGGCGGCGCGCGGCGGGCACCGGGGACGATGTGGTGGTGGTGGGATGGGACGGCGGCCGAGGGGCTGCGGTGCGCGACGTGCACGGGTGGTGGTGCGGTGCGCGGAGAGGAAGGAGAGGAGTGGGGGGAGAGGAGGAGGCCGGGTGGTGCACGGAGAGGCGGGTGGGCGCGAGGTGCGCGTCGACGGCAAGAAGCTCTGTTTGCTTTCTGTCTCGAATGTCGACGTCGTGTACACTAGCTGTGCAACATGACTTTGTATCTTCAAGATCTCCTCAAGTCGCCGATTGCCGCAGCAAGCCGACTGCTACCTCGACGCTCTCGACGCGCTGCCGCGCTGCACGCTGCCGCCAACGCTTGCCGCAACCATGCCCTACACGGTCACCGTGCGCGACCGCTGCATGTACTCGCACACGCTCAAGTTCGGCGACGGCGACGGCTTCCGCACCGGTTGCACGGCCGTCGTCGACGCGGTCTTCACGGGCGGCGCGCTGACGGACGACGGCGTGCTCATCGACATCACCGTCGCCCAGTGCGTGCCGCGCGCCGCGCCGCGCGCGCGCGACCTCGCGCTCCGTCGCAGGCGCGCGCTCAAGGACGTGCTCGAGGCCTACGACCACCGGGACCTCGACGCCGTCGACGACTTCCGGGGCAAGAACACGACGGTCGAGGTCGTCGCCAGGGGCATCTTCGACCGCTACGTCGCCGCGATCAAGGCCATGGGCTCCGGCGCCTGCGCGCCCGTGTCGCGCCTCGAGATCACCGTGAAGGAGTCGGACGTCGCGAGCGCGTCCTACTTTGAGGAGGACCCGGCCGGGCTCCTGTAACAGTCCGACGTTGTGAAGGGAACCTCGAGGGAAAGCGAGCCCTTAGGAAAACGTATGTTCAGCGGGCCGGAAGTCCTGGAACTCGCGCGCGGCGGCCTCGGCCATGGCCTCGTCGGAGATGCCCCACTCGTGGTTCGGGTTCCAGCTGCCATCCGCGAGCTCGTTGATGGCGCGCTCCTCCTCAGCCGTGAACGTCGCCACGGGCCGCTTCGGCGCCGGCGCCTTGCCGCAGACGCGGCGGTGCACGGCCTTCCAGTCCGCGCGGAAGCAGTCCGCGCCGCAGTAGTGCGCGCGCTTGCACCGGGAGCACTTGAAGCGCGCGTCGGCCTTGCCGCAGCGCTTGCAGGTCTGGGGGTCCTTGCCGAACAGCGCCGCGGGCACGAAGACGCTCCGGAGCGTGAGGCTCTCCTGCTCGCCGAGCACGACGTCCGCCGAAATGCCAAAGACGTCGTCGACGCGCGCGTGCCGCTCGCGGACGCCCAGTTCCCAGGGCTCCTCGCGCAGGGCCTCGCAGCGCGCCGCCGCGGTGCAGACGAGCTGCGCCTCGGGCTCCGCGACGGACCGGTGCACGGCCTCCATCTGGAGCCACGTCGTGAGCCTTTTTCGGTGGCCGCCCGCGCGCGCGCGCGTCGCGAGCTCCGCCTCCTCGACGAGCTTCTCCCGGCACCACGCGCGGCACCGCTCGTAGAGGCGCATGGGCTGGTTGACGGGCCGCAGGCACGTCGCGAAGACGGGCACGAGCGCCGGGAACGCGTGCGCGTTTTCCACGAGCTCGACGCCCTTGTAGCCCGTGTCCTCGCGCGCGAGGCCGAACTCGAGGAGCAGCCCGAACTCGTAGGGGCTCAGCACCGACGTCTCGTTGACGAAGAGCGCGACCTGCGCGCGCCGTCGTCTTTCGAGTCGCGGTCTCGAGCCTCGAGCCGGGACGCCGCGCGCGACGGCGATGGTCTGCATCTCGCGCAGGACGCGGGGCAGCCCCCGCCAGCAGGTCTGGGCGTGCAACTCCTTGCGGAAGCGGTCGGCGCCGGCCTTGTTCTGCGGCACGCCGGGGATCTGGTGCTGGGAGTGGCACTCCACGGCGACGGCGCGGACCCAGTGCCAGTCCTCGGCGACGCCGAGCGGCAGGCGCCGCGGGATGGACTTGGGCGCGCCGTCGACGAAGATCGTGCCGTCGCGCACGCGCTCGTTCGGGTGCGCCTCGAGGCGCGGCACGACGAGCGGCATCGGCTGCAGAGAGGCTGCCCCGCTGGTGTTGCCGTCAATGTTCTGTTCCTACTAATCCCGCTGGTGTTGCCGTCGAACGCCGATGGCAGTTCAGGTGGAGCAGGACATGCGCGGCAGCCGCGAGGGCGTCGCGGCGCTCGCCGACGCGCGGCCCGCGCTGCGCAGCGTCTTCGACTGCTACTGCGCCAAGCTCGGCGGCGCGCTCCAGTCCACGAAGGACCGGCAGCTCCGCCTGTCGAACAACAACTACATGAAGCTCTGGCGCGACGCGCGCCTCGAGCAGCGCGTCACGCCGCTCGTGCTCGACCTCGTCTTCACGCGCCACGTGCGGGGCAACGGCGGCGACCGCACCATCACCTTCCACCAGTTCGAGGACGCGCTCCTCGAGATCGGCACGCGCGCCAAAATCGAGGTCGAGGTCCTCTACGAGACCATCTCGGCCCTCGACGCCAAGGCGCCGACGGCCACCAAGGCGCACACGGCGCCGGCCGCGTCGTCGCCGGCCAAGTCCGACGGGAGCCGCGCGCCGCCGCACGGCGCCGCGTCGCCGCGGACGGTCCGCGCGGGCCACCACCACCGGGACCTCCTCGTCGCGCTGAAAAACCTCGCGACCATCGCCGCGGACCTGCTGAGCGTCGACGACGGACCCGACGCGCGCGCGGCGCTCTGCGGCGAGCTGCGCGCCGTCGCCGGCGACGTCGCCCACGTCGCCGACAGCATCGAGCGCGCGGGCCCCTGTTAGTACACCCCCGAACCTAGTGCGCGGGGATCTCGTAGGCGAGGAGGGCGTCGACGGACGCCTCGCCGCAGGCGATCTTCGCGAGGTCCACGGCGAGGGCCTTGAACTTGGGCTTCTCCGGCAGCAGCCCGCAGAGCGCGGCGTGGACGCGGCCGCGCTCCTCGAGGGGCAGCGTCCGCGCGTCGAAGAGCGCCGCGTCGGCGAGGGCGCCGCCGAGCCAGTCGCGCGCCAGATCCGGCGCCGGCGCGCAGACCGCGTGGAGGCACTCCGCGAGCGCCGGCCGCAGCGTCGACGGCGCGGGTCCGGCGAGCTTCGCCACGAGCCCCCGGACGGCCGCGGCGCCGCGCGCGCGCAGGTGGCCCAGGTTCGCCTGGACGAAGGGCGCCGCGAAGGCCCCCGGCGCCGCCTCGGCCTTCTTCGCCAGGTGGCCCAGGAAGACGACGTTCTCCTTCGCGCCGTCGCTCCCTAGAGAAACGTCCGACGCCTCGAGGTGCGCGAGCGATAGGTCCCAGACGAGCGCCAGGAGCTGCGGCGGCGCGAAGAGGGCCGCCGGGCACAGCAGCAGATAGCGCTTGAGGAACTCGAAGAGCTGGGACGCGTGCGCGCCCGCCGCGCCCGACGACAATAGATCCCGCCCCTTCACGACCGCGCGCGTCGCCACCCCGTTCAGCAGCTCCAGCGCCGCCCGCTCGTCGCTCCCGCCCACGGCGCCGTCGGGCCCGTAGGCCTGCTTCGGCGGCGCCAGGGCCTCCACCGTCGCTCCCAGCGCGTCCAGCGCGCACGCCCAACCGCCGCGCTCGAAATAGCGGAGGCTCAAATCCGCGAGCTCCGACGCGTGGCGCAGCGCCGCGGCGGACCGCGCCGACGCCGGCGACGTCGGGCTCGACGGCGGGCTCGCGAAGCCCACGGCCGCCGGCGGGCTCCGCTCCGAGGGCCGCGGGAGCGCGACGGCGCCGTGCGTTGCGAGCGCGCGCGCGACGACGTCGTAGTCGTCGCGGAGCGGCGCCTCGTGGCAGGGGCCCAGCAGCGGCCAGAGCCGCGTGCCCAGCAGCGTGCGGAGCTTCTCCGTGGCGAAGTTCGCCGCGACCTCGACGAGGCCCAGCGCGTCCGCGACGCCCCGGAAACGTCCCGGGTCGTCCGGCCCCGCGGCGCGCGCGCGGTCGACGGCGGCGCTCAACGCCGCCAGCACGGGGTCGAAGGCGACGGCGACGGCCGCCTCGTCCGTCGTTTCTAAACCGCGCACGCTCTTGGACGCGGCCGCGACGACGCGGACCGCGCCTTCGACCGCGTGGCGCGCGGCGAGGAGTGTCGGTGCATCCTCCCTGCGCCGCACGGCGTTCGCGTGGGCGTCGACGAGCGCCGCGCGCGCGCCGTCGTCGCGCCAGAGCTCCTTGGCGTGGGCGACGCAGATGGACCGCACCGCGGCCGCGCACGACGTCGCGAGCGCCTCGTCTTTGCCTGGGCAGGACAAGAGAGATTCAACGTCGCTTCAACGTGAGTGTTCCGCGCGCGCGCGTTCCGGAGAAAGCATCCACGCTTCGAGACCGTTCCAAGAGATGATCGCTCGTCCAAAAATCAGCCGAAACGAGTGGGAAACGGCCGAGATAGGAGGCTTTGAAGTTGGGAATTTCGCTCTCTTGTCCTGCCCCGGTCCTTGCCCCGCGACGCGTCGAGCGCGCCGCCCAGGAAGCGCACGGCGACGGCCACGAGCGTCGGCTTGGCGCCGTCGGCCGACGCGCTCAGCAGGGACGCGAAGGCGCCCAGCAGATCCGCCGCGCCGCAGCAGAAGACGAAGCCGCGGCCCGCGCCGAACAATTCGCCGAACGCGGGGCACATGCAGAAGCCCAGCGTCGTCTCCAGCGCGTCGCGCACGGCCGGGTCCGCCGCCGCCTTCCCCGCCTTGGCGAGGTCCGCCAGGATCTCGCGCTTCGCGGCCCGCAACGCGAAGAGCGCGGACTCCGCCAAGGCGACGGCCGCCGCGTCGCCCGCGGCGACGGCCTGGAGCGCGTTGCCCAAAGCCCGCCCGAGCGTCGCCGAGTACTCGCCCCGGAGCAAAAAGTAGGTCGCGACCAAGACGTCCTGCGAGCTCTCGCGGAAGGAGTGCAACGCGTCGGCCTCGTCCTCGTCGTAGTCG